GAATAAATTGAGAATAATCGTCTCAGTATGGAGTAAGCCCAGCAAGTATGAGTAGTCAATCGCAATCCGGCACATACTTAGCTGATACTGAAGTTTGATCTACACTCCATGAGTTGCGAGAGTTAAAATGTGGAATTCAAGGAAAAAAGAGAACGTCGGTATTTCGTTATTCTATAAAATCCATGAGTGAAGGATACCTTAAGTTATTCAAAGTATTCGAGATTCACTGTTGGCGCCTGTTAGTGCCTACTGACCTTGCGTGAAATCCATGGTTCCATGGGCAAGTGTGATTGGCGGAGATGACAAATTAGCAGGAAAAGGCTGGTCTAGTCTCCTGCGTTTTTGTTGGAAAAGCTCTGGATAAGAAGCGCTTTGACTAGTCAGTTTCTGATAACCTATGCAAAACCAATCACTTAGCTGTACGAAAGCATCATCTTCAAGGAAAGACAGCCCGAGTTTACTTAAAAGAACACTCAGATAACCTACCATCTGCATGTCTATGTCATTTAAAGAAACCAATCCACCTTTAATATATCGGTCTCAATTTAAAGTCTATAAACACCAACTCACCGTCGAGGCATTCGTGCAAAATACGAGCCTTAGTGTCATCAACATGATATAATCTATAGAAATGGAACAATTTCCGCGTCAGTCATTTGAGGAATATTTTAATGTGTTTACGATCACCCTGCTTCATGAGTACGATAACAAAGAAGGTTGCAAAGTTGGGCAAAGTTAAAGCGGTCAGGTTTGGTTCTGCAGCTCCACAGGCGGTAAGAAACCCTAGGCGACTGCGATGCTGGAGTGGTGATAAGAGGGGTTTAGTAGGTGAGGCCTTAGGACAGGCCATGGGAGAGGCGGAAATACAGAAAGGCAAAGGGATTCATATCCGAAAAGCGAAGGTAGTTTAAAAGAGGCTAAATTCGAATGCGTAACATAAAAATTAAAAGGTGTACTTAGAACAGTTTGAGAAAGCCGCTGGGCTGCACAATACAAGGAAAAATGGAACGGGGAAGCTGTCAACCAATAGGAAGGGGGAACGCATTGCAAATGTCGTTCCACAGAATGCACAAAAAAGAGGATGGGTGATCTAGACGAGGACGTAGAACGAAGCGAAGAAATGGTCACTGGAAGCAGTAACGTAATTGAAGTAACGTAAGCGTTTTGTGGAATTGTTACTTTAAAAGAGAGATACCAAAAATGAAGTAATAGCCCATGAAACCTTGAAGTCAGTTGCCGAACGGGACGGCGAGTGCTAAATGATTGCGCAGTCCCGAGGATTTTAAACGCGGTTGTATGCAATCCTCCTGATGAAACAATATTTGCAGACCGTAAGCTAGTAAACCACGCTGAAGGGGGGACGGTTGGGCAAACCCACGGAGGTTATCGAAGTACAGGATTCAATCAGTTCGCCTTACCGTGCGCAACATTTGTAAGAAGAGCGACTCCTTACATCGAGGGTACTATGCCAATGCCGCAGACTAATGGCACTGCACGTAGTACGACAGCATACGGATGCATGTATGTTTGGGTATGCCAGCATACCCAAGTGGGCATGGTTTTACATGAGGTCAATACCGAACTAATATTACTAAACTGCGACTATGGACACATTTTGCAGGTTCTTGAATGAACGCAGTAGAAAACTCAGCACGACGTGAGTTGATCACACCCCGACACAATTTGGAATGGATTTATTTGAACAATTGGGATTGTGATAAAAAAAAAAACTTTTTTACGCTAGACCTTATTTTCAGACTAGACCGATATACCGATTTGGACTGGGGCGGTGATTTAAAAAATTAGACTGACATTAACAAAGGTAATGAAAACCTGCCTGACTTTTCTCGACGGAAATGAATCCATTATATGTACTACTTCCGTGGGCATAATCCATACTACAACAGTGGAATGGTATAGCATTCGGCGGGGTGTGTGCTCGAAAGTACTCCTGAAGGAGGTGAGGAAAATTGAAGAGATTTCTAAGGCAAGTAGCAGAATTGTATACAGTTAATGATGGTCAACAAGCAATGTCGCAAACGTCTCAGCAAAAGAACGGGTAAGTTGATATAAAACGCTGATAATGAAAACGTAGATGAATATACGGCAGAAAATCAACACATTTAAACGGATATCCTGCGTTTTTGAAAGCCCAGCCCATTTATATTTCCAGGCAACGGCTCCGAGAGGTTGTCTGGTATATGTAAACCATTAGTAGAATTTTGTTGAATACGTCAACGGCAACGCGCACAAAGCGCCACGCCGAAGCACCCCCGGCGAAGTATACTGACCGTACGCACTCAACGGAGTGGGATCAGAAAGGAGTAGAGCCGTTGACGCACGTAGTCTAGCCACTCGCTGAATTAGGAAGGAAAGTGATTGCATGGTCAACTGGGAGCGAGGTCAGGGTACATTCCGTTCTAACATTACCACTGAGGGTATTTTAACATAGGCTCGTCTATTTAAAAATAATTCGGTAGGTTGAAGTACGACATTCGTGAAGTGCGGCCGCAGGACCAAACCTTGTGATAAACCAAACGGTCTAAAAATGAAGAGGACTACGACAATTATTATCTGATCTTTAAAAGTTTCGTCATAAGTAAGAAAGTCAATCGCCGACAAAATCTTTTTACTTTCTGTCTGACCTTCCTTGGAAACTGATCAATGACACCGGCCTTTATCGACATAAAGCACCGTCGAATGTTCTAAAATATTAACTTTATAAGAGGAGGCTTCTTATTTATTCACCAACGCATTTACCAGAGGCGCTTGTTGTAGAAGTCTTCTTTGGTGCTAGGGAATCACTTAAAAGTCAGTCCCAAAAGCAGCCATAGTAGATCGATGCATGTTTTCAGAATCTCTCCTAATATTTTGTTTTGGTGGATACCAAACACGGCCGCCGTTTCTTCGTGTGATTGGCCGCAATAAACAAGAAATAGTGCTCAGCGATATTTTATGGACTTCTTCATGTTCGGCGTCCACGCTATCATCCGAAATGTAACACCATCTGCTGAAGAAGGTTCCCCACTGGCAGAAGTGATGTATTTCTGCTTGCTTCTCCTAGCTATATCCCGGTTTATCTGCCTGTAACGTGCACCTCGACGTGAAGCCTTAGTATCCGCAATCCGTCCAACCGGGAAACCAAACGAAATGATCCATTGTTAAAGCAGCTACGGGTTTCACGTTAAAAGTCCTTCTTAATATTAAACACCCGACTAGAAAAAAAAGTACTGTGAACAGGTGAAGCTGTCAGATATTCTCAAGTATGTTCTCGTTAGTAGACAAAATATACTAGCCGGCTAAGTAATCCAAGGCCATGTTCCCAGTTAACTAGCATGTCAACCCCAAATTGAAATAGTTTTGTTCCGCGTTTATGTCTTCCATTACTTCTGCAACACTTAACCTTTCTAGAAAGTTGCTTCCAGACTTTCGGCTTTACAACCCGTCATGTGCACTCTAAGCCAGTCCACATTTTTACTTCTTCGAAAGTCTAACTGCATGCATGCTACATGGTTTCCTTGAAACGTATTTATATGGCTTCATACAAATATTATGAAGTCAACTGATCCTCACGAACTACAGCAACAGATAAGAATCATCTCACACATGTTTTGAGCAGACGTGATAAAAATATGGCTGCTATGTTGTATGAATAATCATGCAGGTGCCTCACAAATTCCTACATTAGATTTCAACACGAATTAAGTTAGCATATGGGTGTTTGCCCTTTGACGGTAGTTTTGGAAATTTATTCTGCCTTCAGTGTCTTCTAACACTCCAAGTCTTTGGTTCTGCATAAGAAACTTCAAAATTGAAAAGAAAGACTTCTGTAACCAACACCAATCTATTTTGGGAACAAGTAAAGGCAAAGAGACATTGTGATCATTTTCTTGACATTCGCAACTGACTTGATACTGTGAGCGCAGTTACAGCATATGGCAATTTTCTAGTAACTATCTTTAGACTCGACTTTCGTTGTCTTTTCCAATTCGACTTATTAATTGAACAAAACACCAACATCCAAAATATAGAAAGTTTGAGAATTTAGCGCTTATGAAGAAGGAGACATGCTCGCTGGGACAAGAGCTTCATTAGCCTGACACTTCGGGGCCCTGCTCGAACCCATCATCAGAGACAAAAGCAGATACGGATGCTTCATACACAAGGGGCTGCAGTATTTATAGGATGCAGTCGCCATGCTGCCGCATACCTATGAAAATTCACGACTCATCCCCATCATCAGGGGTTGTTGCACCTGGTGTAATGATTATTTGATGGTCGGTATTCACTTCTTCCGTATGTCGGGAATAATTCGGAAGCTGTCAGTCGCCTTCTCGCACCACTTGAGGTTGAAGTAGCACACAGGCCGGAGGCAACCATCAGGCGTCAGCCGATGTAACCGAAGGACCCGTCACCACAGCAAGAAACGTCTGGAGTTGTTTACCGGATCTGGTTCAGTTGTGGACAGAGCAACTACGTCGGAGAGACCGGAAGACTGCCCTTAACGCGAATGGCCGAACGCGCTGAAACAATGTGGAGAAATGACGCCAGCTCTCCAGCTGCGGGTGGTTTGATGAGATCCGGACACACATTCAAAGTCGAGGAAGCTGAAATTCTTGCTAGAGATGACAATCCTGTGAGCCGCGAGCTGCTTGAGTTATGGTTCACTGTCTCTCAGTCTATTAACAAGTACAACAACCTTCCCCTTCCATACTCGGTGCTGAGACTTCGCCTAGCCAGAGTAATAAGCCACACGGAAAGCGCATAGGTGAAAACTGTTCCCAGGGTCGGTGGGTCAGGTGGTCGAACCATCATCACACCAACAACCAACACCCGTGATGAAATTGCAGCAATTAAAGATGTGAATGTAAACCATCAAATAAGCATTACACCAGGTGCAACAATCCCTGATGAAATGGATGAGCCGTGAATTGTCATAGGCATGCGGTAAATACAACAGTCCCTTGTGCATGCACCACCCGTATTTGCTATTGTCTCTGATGATGGGTTCGAGAAGGAATCCGAAACGTCAGGCGGATAAAGCTCTTGTCTCAGCGATGGTGTCTCCTTCTTCACGACTGCTTTCTGAGACTCGTCTCTTTGCTTCTATTGGCAATTTCACATCCATCCCACCGGACTTGGGCCGCGAAGTCTTGCAGAAGAGACTTGAGAATGCACTCAAAATTGAACACCTCATGAGACTGTTTGAATTCTGCCAACAAACTTTCCTCACTTTTGCGGGAGAGACCTATGAACAAATCGAGGGGACCCCAGTGGACTCACTAGTCTCCGGTTTGGTGGCAGAACTGGTCCTACAGGAGTTAGAAAAGACTGCTTTCCTCCAACATGAATCGGTGTCTTGGCGCCGTTACGTAGACGACACGTTCGTCATCGTAAAGAAGGACATGCTGCAACATTTCCACAGCCTGCTCAACGCAGTCTTCTCCGATATAAAATTCATGAGGGAAGAATAACAGGAACAGCAGTTTCCCTTTCTGGATGTGCTTGTCAGACAAAACCTCAACGGTGAACTTGGAACGACTGTTTATAGGAAGGCAACAAACACCAAACAGCTTCTCAGTTTTCGTAGCAATCATCCGATGGCTCACAAACGAAGCTGTGTAAAACCGCTCTTCAAACGGATCCGAACTCATTGCAGCAAACCGGAGGACAGAGCACGTGAGGCCCGTTATCTCCGCGACCAGTTTGTGCAAAATGGCTAGCGGAGGGCATTCATAGGTCGCTGCCTACGCGATCGCCACCAGGGAACTCGAATATCAACGCCACCAACAATATAGCGTTCTCTGCCATACATAAGGAGCGTTTTAGAAGGAACCGAGCGCATTGCAGCGGAGCTAGGTGTTGGAATTGCACACCGCCCCAAAGCCACCATGCGCAATAGGGTCATGAAAATCAAAGACCGGTTAAAGTCTGAAGAGCAATCTAGAGTAGTATATCGCATTCCGTTTCAAAATTGTCCTTTAACTACACAGGACAGACTGGGCGCAAGCTCGGATCGCGCATACACGAACATAAGCTGGCTGTGCGATGAGGCGACGCATTATCACAAGTGGCCGCCCACACCCACGAACTGGGTCACTAGCTTAACATCGCAGCCACCAAAATAGTCGCCCACGCCGGAAACAAAACAGGCCGAGAATGGACTGAAGCCTGGGCCTCGGATGAGAACTCGGTAAATCGATTTATCGATCTGGCGCCGGAGTACAGAGCCCTGCGTAGTCACCTCCAATTTTGCGCCGTCGGTCGGTGATTGGCCTACATGCCTTATAACTGTCGCTTGTTCTGTTGCTACTACTACCTCTGACGATGGACTCCTGTACGAGTCTGAAAGCTCGGGACAATAAACAAAGTGTTCCGGTGCTCGACTCTTCTTCTTCACTTACGCATACACCTGGAACTCGAAATTTCGCCTTCATTCGTTAAAATCATATGTTAGTGCCAATGACAGTCAGGTGGATGGGTATTCCAAGTGGTTTCCACCTCTTCAAAATCAAACCACGAAGTAGGCCCATGCATTAATTTAGGTTGGATCAGAATTACTTCCAAAGACATTAGCCTTCAGTAAAGCAATTCTTTACCAAAACCCTGCTTTTAAGAGACGCAAACAACTAACACAAGGAAAAGTCGTTTTAGTTAATCATCTTTAAATATACGTTCCTTGCAATTCACAGAGTCGGACCTTCTGGAATCGTAGAGTGAGCCGTGGACCAGCACAAAACCTCCAGATTTTGGACCGCCCAGCCTACTTCATCGAGAAAATAAGCAATAAATCTACGTTTGACATTTAGAAGGATAGATTTTCCTGTCGTCTACATCTACCAATTTCCAGAGTCCTTGAAGACGTAGATGCTTATGACAAGCAATAGGAGAATGAGGGAAATCTTGCGACTGTTAAAAAACTTGGAAAGAAAATCGGGAAAAGGGGACAATAAAGGATGAAAATTGATACAGGAGGCCCTTCCGTCGTCTCTATTTGACTTTGCAAATGTTCTAACCCCCCATTCATTCTGAAGTGGATTTAAGAAAAACGACATTTTTGGGATTTGTGCTATTACTTTAGGCTTGTTCCTCGTGCCTCATCCTTGCTGTTCACTCTGGCAAGTCTGCTCCTTGTCTCAGAAGTGAACATTCCCGCGTATTTATTTTTATCCCAACCAAAGAGCTGTTTTGTCCTGGAATTTGCATATTCCGACCATAACTCTGGAACGCTGAAGTCTTCCTGTATGCCGAGAACTGTGTCCTTAGTTCGGCAATTTGAACGGGAAATGGACTTTATGGAAAAAAAGATGGCAAGATCGCAGTTCGTAGCCAGATATTGTGAGTCGATACAGTCAACCTTAACCATCTAACCTAACCCTAACCCTAAAACCTAACCCTTACATTAATACTAAAACCTAACCCTAAACCCCTAGTCCAAAAACGCAAACCCTACTCCTATAACTTAATCCTCAGCCTAACCCTAACCCTCATTAAGCCCAACAACCTGATCGAAACAGGTGACCTGCCTAACTCAGTAGAAACACACCTACTGATAACAAGTTTCCTCGATAAGGGAAATACACTGGCTGATTACAAGTAAGTACGCCGACAGTATCGACTCACAATGTCTGGCTAAGAACTGCGATCTTACCCTTTAGTCTGCTGCTTGAACGTAATAATAGTGAAGAGAGGAAGTGAAGTCGATGTTGACCATGGTTACTGTTAGAGTTAGGGTTTGGGATTAGGGTTAGGATTTTTGGGTTAAGGTTATGGTTCAGGGTTAAGTTTAGGGTTAGAGTTATGGTTAGGATTTAGTGTTGAGGTTAGTGTTTAGAGTTAAGGTTAGTGTTAGGTTTTAGGGTTGGTGTTTTGGTTCAGGCTTTAAGTTTGGAGTTAGTGTTTTAGTTTTAGGCTACCTTCTCCATTCCGGGCTACCAACTGCGATCTGACCGACTAAAGTAACATGAGTTGAAAGGAGCCTCGACTCATTAACTGGCAACACATATGTTCACGTCTTCGACATGTCATACACGTGCGTCCACCCTCACTTACCGAACCAGGTGCAACGTACTGACGTTTATCTTTGTATGTGCCGCTCTAGCAGCCTTGCGAGTAAAGAGCTGCCAAAGCCCGCATCTCTTTTGCTCTCAGAAACTACGTTCTCTCAAAACGCAGGTAATCAAGCTTCTAGATGTTCGCATTTCACGTCAGTTATATTAAAGTGATACACGGTTGTGCAATACCTGTTCCAGTCAGCCACCCTCTCTCATGTTCGTTTCACGTCCAAAATTCCATATGCATGACTAAGTAAGGATGAGCGCAAGTGAGGGTAAGTATGCGTTTGGTTCTTTCTGTCGCATGTTGCAAGCGTATGCTGGTTCTGCCTAACCACCAATCCAACTTCGTTCCGAAAGCTCCATGCGTCACAGAGATAGGACTTTTATTTCTGGTCCATCAGAACAGCCCACTTTGAAGCCAACATTTTGGGATCGTTAACACGACAAGAGCAGATATTGTTCATAAAATTGATTGTGGTAATACTACCAAAGTGAAAGAAGTGTTACAAGGGCTGTCATGACGTCCAGGTACCATATTCCATGAAAGTGTGGAGGCAATGGACTTCCATGTATGAACACCGCTTCAAATCCCGACGAAATTAATTCGGCTAGCGTAAATCATTATCTACCGTTTCCTAACTTGCGCTATTTTCATAGTCGACATTAAAAACGAAAGCATTTGCGATCGTCTTTTTACAAAAAAAGAAGCAGATCAAAAATAAGGATTAAATTTCGAAGCGAACAGCCTGGATCATGTTTGGTCGCGATTCTGCCCACCACCGAATACCAACCTCAACCCTCACCGACCAAGTGAGATGTGTCGACTCTGCGCTACAAAAATGGGGGACATTGACTCAGGCGCTGAGCAATTATTTTTTCTATTACCGTTCATGCATGGGACACGGGTTAGTCGAAAATTTCGCGCCACTTTAGTCATAACTCCCAATTTCATCATCGGACGGCCTGACTCCTAGCCGCCGCTGGTTTGAAAATGGTAGGTATTAAGAAAGCCAGGTTTGATCTCATCCCGCAACCAGATTTATCACTATAACCAAATAAACGAGTTTTTACAATATCACGTCGCGATAATAGTCGTGACTTGGATGACCAACAATTGGGAGGTTGAACCGATGCTCCTGTGAGATGGTTCAGATTGTGACAAATCGTTTTCAATGCAATTTTTACTCCTTTTTTCTATAGGACCCGATAAAATTTAGCTGAGGCCTAGAAAATAGTTGGGACATGGTAACGTGTGATACGCGTTATCCTTTCAGTCACCGCGCCTGCGCCAGTCTCCCTTTGCCATTACACTATCTAACTATGAAACATGCCGAATGTTTTAAGAAAGAGTGCATGTCTGTTGCACCAGAAAAATCCACACGCGAGTTGTTGCCATATCACTGGGACAGCGGATGCCGCCATGACCTGAGGTAAAGGAACACTTAACGAGCGGAGACGTAAGCCTTTGGGCTGTTTTTGTGGACGAACGAACTCGTCTCATATATTCTCACCTTACCGGCGGTTGAAAATTTGGGTTTTCAGATGAGCGAAGAGTAAATGTGTCTGTTGTCGAAGGAAATTATAATGTTTTAAGTAGCCGAATATCTGGACGTCTGAAACTCCGTTTTGTAGCATCAATTTTACATGTTATCTACCGTTTTAGCAACGAAAAATCTTGTTCCAGCGATCGCGTCAGCTTTTTCTTTGCTGCCTACTAGAAGACGCCTGTTTGCTTTAATCCGCAGAGGCAGTTCTTGCACCATTTCCTAACCGACCGTGTTCAGTCATATAAGTGTAGTCTTTATGATTTTGTACTGTAATTCGTGTCTGCTTACTTACGCGCAATTATTATCTAATGGAGAGGGCTCGTCATTCAATAAAATAGGTCACCTAAGCGCTTTAACGAAAATATAGAGAGGGACTCAGCCGAAATAAACCGTGTGTTGATAAGTCACTTAATGAAAAAAAAACGAGATGAAAGGAACTAGAAGGAGGGATAATTCGATTGGGAGAAGTCATTAAAATATTTTCTTTGGGTAGTTTTTCAGGACGCAATGAAATAATTCCAGTACACCAAACATTGCACAACACCGATTCCAGGTGTTTTACGGTGTTTTTATAGCAAGAGTTTTTCCATCCACTAACGGATTTCCGGACAATAGGGCGAAAGTTACCTGACAGAATAGATGCCGGACATGGGTGGTTTTTTCACGATTCTCATCTAGGTTTTTGTCGATATGTCGATGTGTCAACAAGAAGAGGTTCCTGAAATAAAAATGTCAGAAAGATGGAGTTAATTAAACAATCCTTATTATAACTAGGAAAATGAAAGCGGCTCAAAAGGCAGCGGTGGCAGCAAATGTGCAAATAGGTCGACAGTCAGTTGTTGATGTTAACCGCGGCACTAGACACGTGCC